TAAGATTTTCCAAAAGATTTTCTAAAGTATATTCGATATAATTATTTGAATATCAAAATATTACTCCAAATCTTTCAAATGTCATTTTTAATCCTTACTCAAGTGTAAAATTAAGTTTTAATCTTAAAATAATTTCAAAAACAATTTTACAAAATATTTCGAACCATTTCAAAGCCAAAAATTACAGATTGCTCAGAGGGAACCGATTCCCCCTGAATGGTTTGGCTCCGAGAAAAACATAATGCTCGGAGGGAACCGATTCCCCCTGTTTAACGGTCGAATATTTGAATTTTACACTTAGGGAACCGATTCCTCATGAGGGGGTACCGATTCCCCCCACGCTCCAAGCTAGTTTATTAATTGATTTCACACTAAAACGACTCTATTGACTTCACTAATCATCCCCAACGTTCAGAATCATTTGAAGGTGTATTTAAACAAGCTTAGAAGCCATTGATCAACAACAAGAAACAACAATAAACAAGAATCAATAGAGAATCAAAGAGAAAGCATCAAACCTCAAGTTTGAGTATTTTCAAGCCTATTTCATTCAATATTCATTTTTTCTTTCAAGAACACTTATTGTGCTCAATTGTATTATTCTTGAGTGTTCTTTCTTTGTTCTATAATTGTGCAAACATCTTGTCTTGTGAGGATTTTCTTGTAAGTTTGCAAAATTTGTATTATTCTCTTTGGGAGAGAGTGTTTTCAAGAATTTGGGGTATAATTCTTGAGGGATTTGTAAGGTTACTCTTTGTCCTCAAAAGAAGACAAATTAGTGAATTTGTGGAAAATTCTTAGTGTGGATAGCTAAGGTAGTGGACGTAGACTTTGGTTGAGAAAGTCGAACCACTCTAAATCGCTGTGCAAATCTTTTCAATTTTCTGCAAAGCTTCCACCGAAATTTTTATTTGTCAATTCACCCCCCTCTTGGCCAACTCCATCGATCGATTAACTCAACACATTTATATATATATAATTGAAATAAAAATTTAATGGAAACGATAGAAGACAACTCATGGAAACATAACCTAAACACATTGTCAAGAAATACATATTTTAGCTTTTATCCCACATTGTCAAGAAACATAACCTAAACACTCCAATATGTCTATATAAGCTAACCCCATTAAGCTCTTAAACTCATGAAATTAATATGTATTAAATTATGATGGTAGTCCTTGTAGTTTTATTTTTTTAAAGCATATTTTTTTGAAATGATGTTAGAGTTTCAGCGTAATCCGCGCCTTCCCTTATGTGGTGCCAGTTCGGACAAAACCCTACGAAGGCGCGGATGGTGATCTGTGCCTTCTCAAAAAGGGTTCTAGATCGATAAAATTAGAAGAAAGGGTGCCTGATAGGTAATTATTACTTATCAGGGTGATATTTTGGTAAAATCGTCTAATGCAACATATGGAAAAATAATAATTGAAATCACACACACACAAGGAATTGAAGTGAAAACCTTGACAAGTTGAGCTCTGATGAAATGACAAGTTGAGCTCTGATGAAATGAAGGAAGAGATAAAAGACAAGTATCGTTAGAAAACTAAAAAGAGATCAATCGGAGGAAGAGAGATTTTTCAAGAGCTTTTTATCCCTTCTTTCCAATGGCGACGTCCCACATATAGTTCCCAATGTGCTTCAACTGATATAGTTTCAGATTCAATCAAAATACTCAAACAAGGAATGGATCCAAAATCTTGAAATTTGAAATTAGAAAAGAAACATAAAAAAGAGGTTTACGGTGATTAATATATGTTAAGAATTTTTTTAATCTATTAATAATATACACACTACACTTTATAAATATAATTGTTCAAATTTAGATCCTCTAAAGATAACAATATCTATTTTTACTATTGGGTCATTCAATGAGTCTTTTTGTTGTTGTTGATAAATTCTAAATATAAACTAATTCTATATAGAGGGAAGAGAAAGAGAGAATTCTAAAAAAAAGAGGAGTATTTTTAGTTGATGTAAGAAACTCGGACACATAATTTAAGAAATATGAGTAATATAGGTTGAATTGCTAATAGAAAAATTCTACAGCACACGTCGCATACCACAACATACCACTAAAACGACGTATCGATATGTACCACTACCTAAATCATCTTTATTAAGTAAATATTAAAATGGATAAATTATAGTTTTGTACCTAAATTATTATTTTTGTTTAATTTAAGTATTTTAATTTTAATTTTTTAAATCATTGAAGGTAATGTTTATGTAGCATGACATGTCAATTTTTTATTTTTTTTAATTACCACGTCACCTTTCTTTTATTTGTTAGTATTTTTAATTAATTTTATTCAACCAATTAGGTGGTGATATGTATCACCACCTATGAGTTAAAAAGATAGAAATTTTTGCTCATGGTATGAATTGATCTTGAGTATCTTACATGAGAAACAAATCATTCAACCATTGAGCTAAAATAATCATCTGGGTAAATTTCACCATATTTTGAATTTAGCTTATATAAGAATATCACCACAAAATCAATATTTTTCTATGATTATAAGATTTAAATTTGGGACACTTTATATTAATCACTAAAAGCTTAGTCACTAAACTATAATGTGATTTTTTATTATGGATGGATGTCCCTTTTTCCCATATGTATGGGGTAAGGGGGAGGTAAGATAGTAGGCTACCCCCAACACCAGGTTGAGAGTAGCTTCCGTAAGAGACCTCTGAATTTTTATTATGCTGAACTTAATACTTACTTATATCATTATTAAATTAAAAGTTAATTTTTCACTTTATTTAGAAATAAACAAATAATTAAATAATTCACATATTTTTATAAAAAAAAATATATGAAATAATTCTAAAAATATATATATTTTTAGAATTATAAAAATATTTATTTATTTATGAAAATCCAATTAATTATTTATTTGAAAAATATTATTTTTAAATTATCTATTTAATTTTAAATAATTTAAATTTAGGGTAAATTATATGTTTACTATCTAACTATTATTTTGGTTCCATATAATATTTTTTAAAATTAAATAGATAATTTAAAAATAATATTATTTCAAATAAATAAATATTATGATTTTAAAAAATAAATAAATATTTTAAAATACTTTCATAATATTATAAATAAACTTTTTAGAATAATTTAATATAAATTTTATAAATATATAAAACTAATTATTTAATTTTTTATTTCCAAATAAAGTGAAAATTTATTCTTTAATTTAATAATGATACCAGTAAGTATTAAGTTTGATATAATAAAAATAGATTAACATTATAGTTGAATGTTAAACTTTTGATCATTAATTTAAAACGTCACATATTTGAATTTTATAATCATCAGAAAATATTGATTTTTGGGGGTATTATTATATAATTTAAACACAAAATATGATAAAATTAATATAAATGAATAGCTTAATTTAATGGTTAAGTGTCTTGAATTTCATGTAAAAGGTCTATGTTCAATTTATGCTAAGAGCAAGAATAATTTCTTTTATTTTATCCTCGTAATTGGTGATACGTGACACCATTTAATTGGTTGAATAAAATTAATTAAAAAATATCGAAAAGTGATGTGAAAATTAAAAAAAAATTGACATGTTTGTTACATCACATTATTATTAATGATTTTAAAAAAATAAAGTTTAAGTACTAAAATAAAATAAAAATAATAGTATAAGTACTAAACATATAATTTATTCTTTTAATATTCACTTAATAAAGATAATTTAATTAATGATATATTTTATTACGTTGATTTAATAATATGTTACGATATACACGTGACTTGTATTTTTTATATGTTAATACTGGAATTCCAGCTGTTTGTGTGGACTGTGGATGTAATGAAATCAAGAACCCATCATTACACATAACAATATTCTCCATACATGATATAAGTCGAAGGTCACAATTAAATAATGAATGTGTTAATTAAAATATAAAAAAGGACAACGTAAATGTTAAGCTGATAACTTTAGAGTTTAACATTTGAATTCCTCTGTCTTATTACCCTATTAAATAAGTGGAGGCTAATCCTTCCCTCTGTTGATAATAATAGTAATAATAATAATTAAACTTTGTTCTTCCAGTTCCAGATCCAGTTCCATTTATAAGATTCCATAGATTTGGCCCAACGGCTCCTTAGTTTGATGATGGGGAATTTAGATTTTGGAAGCATCTTGCTTTGCTTTTGGTTGGGGAATCAAAGACTAAGCAGAGGGCAGCAACGGGACTTGGAAGTAGAATCTTCGAGATCTGCGATTATGAACGACGTTAGCTTCACGTACAAGCCTGGGCTGGAGCTCCAATATCCAATCACAAAACATTTAACAACTTTGCTTCCTTTTTCTCCTTTTAGGTTGAGCGTATTGGTGACGAAATGCCGTTAAATGGGAATCTAACAATCTCCATTTTACCTTCTCAGCCTCCACTTCTTCTCTCAGCTTCCCCCATTGCTAAAGGTTTGTTTTCTTCCACCTCTCTTTCTCATTAGAGCATTTGCATTTGCTTTTGCTTCTGGGTTTTATCTGCAATTCCTCAATGTTCTGGAGAGGGGTCTTTTTATTCTAATGAATTCTGCATGTTTATGCAGCAAACAGTACGTTTTCTCTAAGAATTTTATAAGTCCACTCCCTAACATTAATTCATGTGTCCGTCCTTGTATACATTACACAATATTTTGTTTTCTTTGTGAACATATATTCGTTCAATTGTATAGAACTAAGCATTGAGTGATGGAGATGTATGATTTTTAAATTTGAAAATCGCATAGTTTTAAGATTTTTGCATTGCTTGCATTTTGCCTTTACAATTCATTGCTTTTACTTTACTGGAAAAAGGATTATGCTTTTGAACCCATTTTGGTAATGTTATACTCACAAGTTCCTTTTGTATTTGTTGATAGAAATTTATTTGCATAATGGAAATTTTGTTAGGCATTGTATTTACATGTGTAAACAAGACAACTTTCATTTATGCTCTATTACCATTTTCTTTTCATCAAGCAAAATTACATGTTCTAAATTCTACATCTTGCTTTGCCAGGGGAGTGAGGACTGCTGAGATGAAGCTGCCTTCCCATTTTGCTACATTTGCCTTTCTGTTTCTACATTTCATTCCAGACGCCATTGCTGATCTAGATTCAGATAAGCAGGCCCTCTTAAGATTTTCAGCCACGGTTCCTCATGGACGGAAACTTAACTGGAGCCCTTCTATTCCAGTATGCACGTCATGGATCGGCATCAATTGCACCGAGGATCGTTCCCGTGTGATAGGTCTCCATCTTCCTGGTGTTGGACTACACGGTCCAATTCCATCCAACACACTTGGAAAGTTGGATGCTTTAATGATCCTCAGCCTCCGGTCGAATCGCCTAAACGGTAATCTTCCGTACGATGTACTCTCCCTTCCCTCTCTCCGTTACGTAAACCTTCAGCACAACAACTTTTCAGGTCGCATCCCTTCATCTCTGTCTCCCAATTTGAATTTCCTTGATCTCTCCTTCAACTCCATTGCAGGCACCATTCCAACCACAGTTCAGAACTTAACAAACCTTACCGGTTTAGACCTCCAAAACAACTCCCTTATAGGACACATCCCCAATCTCAATCTTCCAAGACTTAGGCTTTTGAATTTGAGCTTCAACAACTTAAATGGAACTATCCCATCTTCCCTCAGCAAGTTCCCTGCTTCTTCCTTTGTAGGAAACTCCATATGTGGCGCTCCACTGAACCAGTGTCTCACAATCAACCATCCTTCCCCTTCCCCTTCCCCCACTTACTTAACTCCTTCAACATTACCAGGGGATACAGGCAAAAAACTGAGTACAGGTGCCATAATTGCCATAGCAGTTGGAGGTTCAGCACTGGTTTTCTTCATGTTGCTCTTTGTGATACTTTTCTGCATAAAAAGAAAGAATTGTCAAGTTAGCCTTGCATCAAAAGGGAAGAGTTTAAGGAGTGAGAAACCGAAAGAGGATTTCGGGAGTGGGGTGCAGGAGGCAGAGAAGAACAAGCTGGTTTTCTTTGAAGGTTGCTCGTTTAATTTCGATTTAGAGGATTTGTTGAGAGCTTCGGCTGAAGTGCTGGGGAAAGGGAGCTATGGTACGACGTACAAGGCCGTTTTGGAGGAAGGAACAACAATGGTGGTGAAGAGGTTGAAGGAAGTGGTTATTGGGAAAAGGGAGTTTGAACAACAAATGGAAATCGTGGGAAGGGTTGGTCGGCACCCGAATCTTGTGCCTCTACGTGCTTATTACTATTCCAAGGATGAGAAGCTGCTGGTTTATGACTACAAAGCAGCTGGCAGTTTTTCCTCATTGTTGCACGGTACATTTATCTCATCATCTTCTTTTTCTTTCTTTCTTTCTTTCTTTAATGTTGTTGAACTATACATTACATTAAAATCATGTTAAAACTTTAGATATGTTTATCCTAGGCATAATGACAAGAAAATGGCATAATGTGTGGTTAAATAGTCATTTTGATCTTTTTTAGCATTTTGATCCCAGTGTTTCATTTTGGGACAAAAATATTTATGTGAATGAAAATTGTTAGTTAACAAATGGTCAATGCTAACAAAGGAGAGGTCTTTTTGCCCTAAAATGAATCGATGAGTGCCAAAATGCTCCTAAAAAATAAGGCTTTGTAGAGACTATTTTGTTAAATGTTAAGACTCTTTTGCCCTAAAATGAAATGTTAGGAGCTAAACTGCTCAAAAAATAATAGAATCAAAACAATATTTAGTCAAATGTTAAAAGGCATTTTTTACCATTATGCACGTATCCTATATAGTTGTCTATTGCATAAATTTTGGATAGTTTGACAATGCATAAATTTTGATTAATTTAGATCGTGTAGTTTAGTTATATTGTTTAGATCCGAACTAAAGTTTTAAAATTTGAAAAGAATAATGACTAAAAATAAAAACTTCGAGCATGTAGATTAAATTCACAATTTACACAAAATATGAAGACTAGTAGAAAATTTTAACCAACTTTAAATGATTATCAATTTTCACAATCCTTATTTTGCATGAACTTTCATTATAGGAAGCAGGGAAAGTGGACGTAGCACGCCAGACTGGGATTCAAGGGTAAAAATATGTTTGGGAGCAGCAAAAGGCATAGCCCATCTCCATTCATCCGGGGGTGGAAGATTCGTCCATGGCAACATCAAGTCCTCCAATGTCCTCCTCTCCCATGATTTACATGGCTGCATCTCTGATTTTGGATTAACTTCTCTAATGAGCTCCCCAACCATCCTGTCCAGACCCGTAGGATATCGAGCTCCTGAGGCGATCGAAACCCGAAAATTCACCCAGAAATCCGACGTCTACAGTTTCGGCGTGCTTCTCCTAGAGATGCTAACAGGCAAAGCAGCAATAGTCCAATCATCGGCACATGAGGACGTGGTCGACCTTCCGAGGTGGGTTCAGTCAGTCGTGAGAGAGGAATGGACCGCCGAAGTGTTCGACGTAGAGCTGATGAAATATCAAAACGTCGAAGAAGAGCTGGTGCAGATGCTTCAGATTGCAATGGCATGTGTGGCAGTGGTGCCGGACAGGAGGCCTAGAATGGAGGAAGTGACCAAGATGATTGAAGAAATCAGGCCATTTGACCAGCACTCACTAGATCAGAGCTCAAATACTCCAACCCCAGACGTTTAATGCGAAGCTATTTAATTTTGTGGATGATTCAAGGTGCTTAATTTATTGTGAGTTGTGAGGATCAATTATCCGTGTGATTATTTTAGGATTAGAGCATACCTAAGAAGTGTATTTACCAATATCTATTCAGCCATTCTTCAATTACTTCACTTTGTTTTACTTTTTTCCCCCTTCAAATTCTTAATTAATATAAATACTATAATATTAAGTATATACCATGATTTTTAATATTTGAGTACATTTTTTTTTACCAATATTTGAGTACATATTTTAAGTGTAACATTAGAAATTCTAGATATAGGTCAGATAAGTAAAATTTAAATTCAAAACGATTTAATATCTTTTTATTAGCTTAAGACGATTACAAGTGATGATATATTTCTAGAGATTTTCTATCATTTAATAATGAAGGCTTAAATACCCTTCAATCGTTTAATTCGTGCACGATTTAGTATTTACAATCCAAAAGCTTTTTGTTTTAAAGTGTCTTGTGAAGGTCAATCGGTAGACCTTATGTGGAGGCTCGTTTGGTTTAAATATGTCCCTCCTAAAGTATCTGCTTTTGTGGGGAAAGCAGTACATCTTAGGCTGCCGGTTATGGTTGAGCTGGTAAAAAGGGATGTTGCATTATCGTATGGGAAGTTTGGCAAAGATGGTGCTTGTAATGTAAGTTTTGTGATTCCTAAAAATGTTAATCAATTGTAGAGGTTTGGTTTTCACAAAGTGTTAGGAGGAGAGTAAGGTCGCTTTGGTGTATTGATTTTTTTGGTTTGATTTGGGTAATTTGGATTTGTAGAAACAACTCCAGATTTAACAATGCTGCTTTTTTGGTTGATCAGATTTTTTATAAAGCTATGTTACATATAGGAATATGGGCGAACTATTTGTGGCCGAGTTTGGTACCAGTAGTGTGATTTTATTCGAATTCCGGAAGCTATCGTTCGAGGTGTGCGTTAATGGAGAATTCTGCTGCTGCGTTTTTATTGGTGTAAGCTTTAGCCAGTTCAGTCTGCAATTCTGATTCGGGAATGTTGTTTCTGTGATTCTGGTTCGGGATTTTTGTTGATCGCTGCCCAGTCTTGCAGTCCTTATCATGGCATTCTAGTTCTGGTCTCGCCATTGTAGATTTCAACACTGTTTCGTCATTGCTGCAGAGATTAAGCTGCCCATTTTCGCTGGTCTCTTAGTTGATCTCGTGTGGTGTTGTCTCCTTTCAGAAGCGGGCTTAGGAATGTACCAGAGGTTGATTACTGATGTGTTTTCTGCAGAGATTGCTGAGACGAGAGTTATCCCATCTGTAGTTACTTTTATTTGCCGTTTATCAAGATTCTTCTGTTTCATCCAAGGCGCATCATTCTCGTTTGCGATCAATCAACTGATACGCATAGTGGTGCTGTGTGGTTGGCTACAGCTTCTTCTTCTCTTTGAAATATATACTCGTTTTTGTCTACTACCTCTTTCTAGCTATTGCTCATTGGTCTTCTGTTAGGGGGTTGCAACATGGTTTTGTTCTTGGTATTGGATGTGTAGTTTTTGTTGTTTTTCGTTCAGGGGTAGTCAGCAGCTACTTTTATGTAGCTTGCTATGTGGTGTAATTTTCGGTATTTTGATTCGATGACACTGGTGACTTTTGTTGCCTTTCTTTCCATTTTTTTTTTTTCTATCTAAGTTTAGGGAGGTTTTTTAACGAGATCTTTAAGGTGATGTACTTTGATTTGTTTAATACAAAGTACCCTTTTAAAAAAAACAAATATTTGAATTTGAATTCAAATAAATTAAAGGCTTAAATGAGAGTTCAGCTCCTAAATTATATTTTTGACCTTAAATATTTAAATCATTTTTTAATCAAAATATGTATTCAAATCACCATTTTATAATTGTTTTAAATTATTTTATTAGTCTCGTCTAAGAAAAAAATTCTATAACCGATAATAAGCTGACGTATCATGTCAAATAATTTAACCTAAATTTTAATTTATTGTTTTAAAAATAATTATATTTTACTTAAATTGAAGTAAAAAAAATTAATAAAATACTTTTGAGTTTCAAAATTACAAGTTTACCTCCAAAAAGCAATTTTCCCTAATTATGTAACCTTTTCATATAGGAAATCAATTTTGGTGGAAACCATTTTGAAACATAGCAACAATTTTATTATACTTAATTTTGCGGCTATATTAATTCTCAAATAATAAATTCTCATTCAAACAAAATAATTATACAAACAACCAAACAAAATCAATAAAAACCAAAGATAAATTTTGTTATCATTACAATTTACATAAAGAACAAATTGACGATAAATAAAATTCACGCATATTTAGAATTTAGCGAATGTAAAAGTTAATATAAATATAAAAAATACAAAAATAGTAAATTTCTATCGATTTTTTTGTTCTTAAATTAATATCAAATATTAAATAATTAGGTTGTTTCTCATTTCAGAGTCAATTTGATATTTTATGGTTTAATATTTCAAAAATAGTTTAGTGCTTTAGAATTTTTAAAAGAGATTACAAAATCAAAATTGTCTGAAGTTTCAAATTCCTAATTATTTGCAAAGTGAAATTAAGATAATAATTAAGTAATAAAACAAAGTGAAAGGATTCATATATCTAATCCCAATCAATTATTTGCAAGTGAATTAAGATAATAATTAAGTAATAAAAGACGGCATATTTGATGAAATTATCTCGTATTGTAGTGCAGCAAGGAAAGAATCCAAATCCAGCTATTGGCAACAGTGAAAAGCATTGGTTTTGGGCATATAAGTAATTTCAGATAGGAAAAAGGGGCAAGTATCTGAGTGCAACAGCCGTAGGTCAGTCCTTCCACTCTTCAGCTTGCCCCATTTCTGTTCGCTACTTTGGGTTTTTCTTTCAACTTTCTTTCCTTTATTGATTTCTCAGAAATTTCATTAGCTTTTTATACCCTAATTTGTGTGTTTGGTGCTTCTTTCTTTAATTTCTGCCTTGAATATGATCCCTTAAAACTGGCAATTTTTCATTAGTTGTTATTGGTCATAATCTGTTCGGAAAATCCACCCTTAATTTTTACAGGTGAATTTGCCGTCGCTTTGTTCTGAGTTGCTAATCGATGCATTCTTTTTTATATATGTATAATCAATTTTCTTAGCTTGCGTTCCATCTGGCTTTCTCTATCTGTTTCCCTTTATGGAGTACTTTCAGATTACTCTTTTAATGCTCTTTTCCTTTATTGGTTTATGTTAAAAGAAAAAAAGAACTAAAAGATTAAAATTCTGATAATTCAAGTGAAAAGTCGAAAGTTATGTTGGAATTTCTGTTGCATTTTGACTATTTGTTCAATCCAATGGAAATTTCATTTTTTGGAGAATTTTCTTTTGATTTATGGAAAAGATCTGAGAAAGCAAACAGCATGATATGGTTCTGTGTACTCGTAATTTCTGGGTTTGGAAATTAGAATGGACTGTAATTTGTTCAGAAATGTAAATACATGCCTTTTTAGTTTATTGTGGGTGTGGAAGTAGAAGTAGAACGGATTTTATCTAAACTTGTTTTAAGATTGATTGATTTTTGTCTATAAATTGATTATCAAATTGTTTATTTGTCATGGACTTAGTCTCCGATTTCTTGACTTTGATGTCTTTCCAGGGTTCTTATCGATTGCCGCAGATCGCATTTCCGCAATTTTTTAAAATATGGGACAGTGCTTCTCTAGGGTAAGTGCGTTTAGCACATGTTATTTACATTTTGTTGGCCAAAATGTAATGGATCTTTAATTAAATATACTATAAAATTCTGAAACATTTTAAGATCAAAATTTGCTGATACTTTACTTTCATTATCGGACATGTAGAATTTTTCGATGGAAAGGCACAGCGTCATGATGATGATTATTCGACAGCTTTAAATAAGAAAACTAAATTTTCAAGAGCTCTAAGAAGAAGAATATATTGCTCCTACCAATTCTTGGAAACTGAAACTGAATTTGTTTATGTTCTTATGAAGCCATGGGATTTTGTTCCTTTTCTTGTGTTTGTTGCAATCTGTTCATGCTAATAATAGACCAAAACTATTTTATTTCAGTTTATAAAAAAGTATTTTATACATGCGTTTAGTATATGTATTTTGTAGTTTGTCTGGTGAACTGATTTTCTAGTTCTCTTTGTTCCTTTTAACTTTTATTTTTAGAATTACTGATAGGAAAATAGAACTTTTTTATTTATAGAAAAGAAAACAAGCATTTCAGTATACTAGTGACATCTCCAATGTCTTAGAGAGTGTTTCTCAAGATTCTAATGCCTTACCTTGGGGAACAGGGTGCTGTTTGAGAATGACATTCACAACACTATGATGAGTTAAATGATGGTCGTGGTTTTGTTAATGATGTGTTCTTATAACTAACAAATATAGTGTTTACCAACATTTTTGTTGTCTCAATGTCGATTGTGATCCTGCATGGGTTATTAGTTACTACCTTGCTAAAGTTGTACGATACCTGTGATACTTGTAGGATAAGTCCGATGGAGCCGATTCGGATGAAGTTGTTGAGTTTGTCGGTGGAAATGTGCACCGTGTTACCTCCAAAGAGGATTGGGATCAGAAGTTGTCTGAAGCAAAGAGAGATGGCAAGATTGTAAGTTTCTTAATACTTTCTACTCGGGCAAGGTAACAGAACAGGGGTAACTATGCTAGAGGATTTTCCCTTCATTTCTCAAACCTCTCTTTGTTTAATGCCATGTTATATCTCTTTTTAGTTACATGTTAATTTCTATACCCTTTCGGAGTAAAAACTTATATGTTTTAATCTGATATCACACATGAAAATTCGACATGTGGATAGCTATCTATATCCATGACGCTACAATGTTTACCATGAAAATCTCCTCTAAAGAACTAATCAACAATAACCGATTCTTAGTCAGGAAAAGCTCTGTAAAATATTTTTCTCTGAGATAAACATAATAACCAGGAACATGGTTTCATAGAATAATGAGAGTTTTCTGTGATTTCGTTTTCTTCTTCCTGTCTATAGTTTTAAGTTATAGATGAGGCCCTGTGAAATTTTGGTTACTCTGTAATTTGTCTGGAATGTGAATTTTTCAAATACTTTTTGTATTACATTAATGAGGTAGCTTCTATGCATGAAAATATCATTGGGACTTTTTTAATATTTTGGATTCCTCTCTCCTTACCGTTGTCTGGAAAGTATACTTGCTCTTAGTTCACTTTTATGCCTTTCATCTTTATGAAGGCCTTGATTTATCTAATGTCTAAAGCCTAATGATTTATCAGGTTATTGCAAACTTCAGCGCAACATGGTGTGGCCCTTGTAGAATGCTTGCACCATTTTATTGTGAACTCTCAGAGAAGCACTCTTCTCTGATGTTCTTGTTGATAGATGTTGATGAACTAACCGTAAGTATCGAAATGTCTACCTGCCACCTGCCATTTTATTTCTTTAATCCGTGCAGCTAGTGATGATGCATGAGTAATATGATACGGATAATGGAACATATCCTCACAAGTCAGAATTTACACTTTGGTACTGTTAGTGGAATTTTCTGAAGCAAGATCTTAGTGCCCTTGCATAAAAACAAATTTGGCTAGGTGTAACAAATATATAGGACCCCAAATGGGCAGGCACACGACTGGTATTCTTATTATTATTATTATTATTATTTGAATAGTCTGAGATGATAACAAGGTAGTATCTCTTTAGATGTTTTCCTAGCCTATTGATAACGCACGCACACTGCAAACGTAGCTGCTGCTTGAACCTGTGACCTCTGGGGAGAAGTATTATTCTTATTATTCATGTGTTAGTTGTGAAGTGGGAAAATTTGATTTGTGATTACAGGATTTCAGCACTTCATGGGATGTTAAAGCCACTCCTACATTTTTCTTTCTGAAAGATGGGCAGCAAATTGACAAGCTTGTTGGAGCAAACAAGCCAGAGTTGCAGAAGAAGATTACTGCCATTTTGGATTCGATGGGGAGTTATCGGAATTGACATCGGTGAGGTTACCGGTTTCGGAGCATCTGCAATGAACATAGCCTTTTGTTTGTGTTGTTGTGAGTTGAGAGCTTTGTTTGCATTGAGATGGAAAGTGTTGGTTGTTAATATATAATTGTAATTCTTGGAATGCCTTATCTATGCTTGCTTGTATGCGAAGGTTACAATTGAGATGGAAAGTGTTGTTTTATGCAAAGGTTGTATATAACAAATCACATTTTTAGCATTTTGATATTCTAGGGCTAAAAGGTAAATTTGTTATCATTAAACTCAATTTGAGTATTGACGTTTTTCACTAAGCTTGATATTATGATCTAATTTGTGGTTACAATTGAAATTTGTAACTAGTATGATTTTTATTGAACTTTGCCATCAATTTTGGTTTTTTCCTATGATTAAAATTTATCATTAATTATTGACTTTGGACAATTTGATCAAAAATCAAATTTTAATGATATAATTCAATAATAAAAAAGTGAAGGGACGACATTTAAAATTGAATTAAAATATAGTGTCAAGTTTATCTTAGTATCAGAAGTGCAATGCATCACCAAACAAAGTATAGTGGCAAACTTGATATTACATAAAGATAATAATTTATTGCAATGAAAGTTACAATTCTATTTTTTAGAAATTAATAAATAAAGTTTAACAGAAAAAAGTTATTACTAAATTAGGAGACATGTGAAATATTAGTTTTTCAAAAGAAAATTGAGTCAAATTATCATTTATATTAAAAAACCCTTTTATATAAAGTTTAAATTAGAATTTACATAATTTTATTTATTTTAGTATTTAAGGATATGATTTAGAGTCTACACATGATTAAGAATTTATGTTTTAAGGTTTGAAGTTTTAGATTTTAGAATTTATGATTAAAATAGATAAATTATATAAATCTCTTTCTATTAATTTAGGATAAATACAAGATATCATATGTTCAAAAATAATTCTCAATCATTTAAGATCGAATACATGTACCTTAACATTCAGTATTCAAACCTAAGAACCCAAAGAATCACAACTTTGATCTTTTGATTCGTACCTATATAATTATGAACCACAATCTCGAAGGTGGGTACATATATACACTTTTTTTTTTTTTGATAAAATATACACATGCTTAGATTTATTTAAATGCTAAAAAAGAGCATAGCCATGTTTGGACAGAGTTGGTTCCGCGTCCGTTCCACTTTACATATATATATATATATATATATATATATATATATATCAAACAAACAAACTTGATTAGAATTCAATTAATAGACTTTCCTATCATTATCACATTGTCCATTTTGGTTCAAAACATTCACATGGCCACCTCAGATTACACAACAAAATTAGACAGCTCTTCTATCGCCAGAAGTCAGCCCCCTTAATCACGTAGGAATGAGTCCAAGCCACTCATAAGGATCCATCATCAGCCAGCAAATTTCTTATCAACTTCACAAAGCAAGCCTTGTTCCAACCACCTAGATCAAAAACACCCAGGCCACCTTCAGATTTTAATAAACAAATCTGCCTCCAGCTGACTCGGGCTCCCTTTGCAGACACATCAGCTCCTTTCCAGAAGAAACGAGAACAAAGTTGCTCGATTTTCTTTATCACCCCTTGAGGAAGCATAACCTGCCTACACCAATAATTTGCAATGTTGAATAAAACAGCGCGGATCAACTGCAATCTACCAGCAAAGCTTAGGTGCCTGTTAACCCACAAATTCAACTTGTCCTTTATCTTCTCAATGAGAGAGCGACAATCCTTTTCTGCCAGCTTTTTAGTCACCAATGGGATACCCAAATATCTCACATATTATATTATTATTTAGGTTAAGATGATATTTTCATTTTTTTATCATTTTAATATTTAAAATATTATATTATTTTAATTGATTTTTAAGTCAATTGTTACACATATTATATCAATCTATTTTTTTAGTTATAGAAAAATCATGTAACATTTTAAGAATGTATCATATAATACAATACGTTAAGTGGAAAAAAATGTTTTTGGCCTCGACTTCGAATGATGTGTTCTTCTCTTGTACACAAGTAAAACGACATCGGTGATAAAAGAACTATTATTATTCTTTGAGATATCGGGTTTGAGCATCGTGAATGCTAGCATTTATTATTAAATGATTGTGAATGTTCTTTGAACATATATTATTTTATACTTTCTAGTCATGGATAACGGAAATGACAGCATGAGTATCGATACAAAGCACTTGGTTTTGGAGTAGAGGATTTTATGGCCCTCAGCATCTGCAAGGACCCGGTTCAACCCGAATTCATATGCAACTCAAGTTGGACCTGATTAGTTTTTGTGCTTGTGCTTATTTGTCCACTCTTGTCCTTGTTATGCATGTGGAAACTTTGCCATGATGATTGAATTGATTTGTGACCATTTCTATTTCAATTAAAAACTAAGACTCCATAGGAGTTCCTTATTCTTTTGAATCCCAAGGGCAAGCCAAGACACACATAAGGGACTAGCAGGCAGGCCTTGTATAATTGAAATCTATGAAGGGATTTTTTAGTCTTTGGGCTAGACGCTGGAGAAAACGTCAATGACATGTCGGTCCATTTTTTTACAGTAAAAAATGCACTAAAATAAAAGAAGATTAGATCGAGTTACCTTGTGTCGAGAGGGGGCTCCGTCGGAGGTCACAGGAGTCGGGGAAGTCAAAGAGTTTGAGTCGATTTTTTAGGTAGTCTAGGCTGGTGGATCTACATTTTTTTTTGGACGTTTTGGGATGTTTTGGGTTTTCTGTCAACCGTGTGTGGCGGCCGGACGGCGTCTGGAGCTAGTTCGGGGTAGCCGACAGTGGACCGGCCGAGGAGAGAGGGGAGAGCATTTATAGGGGTTTTTTTTTTCTGTTTTGGGTTTAAAATGAAAAAAAGGGAGTTGGTATTTATAAAAGAAGTTTAAGGGAAATCATGTTGAGATCCCCCTCTTTTAGTATGTTTTTGCATTATGATCACCTGTAAGGATCAAAACTATTATTTTTCCTTTTATTTGCATGTTATATATTTTTTGATAAATTTTTTTTAGTCCCTTTAAGTTATACGTGTTTCTACACTTTGGTCATGTGTAGTGACCTTTTAATTTTATTTTAATTTGTGTGAACTTATTTTGTAATATTTCTTTTTTAGTTAAACAGATTATTTTAGGCTTAAATAAAATGTATACTTATCTTTAGGTCTCTGTATTTTTCACGTATTTTTATATTTTAGTCCATAATTTCAGCACTTTACCTTTTTTTGTATTTATTGTTCTAGCCTTTAATTTCTTACCTTTTAATTTTAATCTATATTTTTGTTTACTTAGTTAATATAATTATGATCATTTATTTTTTATTAATTTAATCAAGTTTACTATTTTATTCCTATATTCAGATTTTGTATATTTAAGTTCTACATTTATTTTAGTTTCCTTTATTTACATGTAATTACCAAATAAGCTTACTTTCCATCCATTTTAGAATCATGTTAGCATTTATAATCGTTTCCTTTAATATTTACCCATTAAAAATTATTCTCCATATTTACGTTGGCATTTACTTCATGGTAATAGGTAAACATTAATTGCATGTTAAATATATGTTTATACTGTACATGTATGTTTATATTAATTGCATAGGATTAAAAGTTATTCCCTCATATTCACGTGAATATATATATATATATTTAAGATTTTCTTTTATTTTTATAATACATATCATTAAATGTGGTGATTAGGTATATATGTTACTATTATATTCAAATTATATTTTATATTTATTCAATATATCATATATTATTTACTTGTATTATGTATATATTACATGTTTTTATTTATGAATCTATCGAACACATTTTATTAGTTTATATATATCTTACATTGAGAGTATATGATATTATAATTACTTATTCCTAGCCTTTACCTTAATATTAATTTTAATTTAGTCCCTCAACTCCTTAATTATTAGATTCGTAATTAATTTTTAAATTTAGGTGAATTTTTAATTTGGTTCTCGCTTTTGCTCGAGGTTCCGAATTAATTATTCAAATCGCACAAATAACTAAAATTAAATAGGTTAATATTTTAGAACCTTCATTTTATGCTTAATTTCAAACTTAGTCCCTTAATGTAGGTATTAATTTGAGTCGGCCCTCGCGTAAATGCTCGAGGGACCATCTCGGTTATTTAATTCAATAATTGGTTTAAAAATCAAATAGAGTTAATATTAGAACCTACACTTCTAGGTTTGTGCCTTTAGGCTCTTTAACTTTCATAATTCAACACTTCATGATAGAGAGAGCCTTAAATTACCCTTAGTTAATTAGGATGAATAAAATTTGTTTGATTGCACTTTTAAAACCCAATGCAATGTTCACTTATTAGGGAATTAATGGTATATCTCCCGCAAGTTTTTAAAATTAAGACAATGTCAGGTTATTAGGCACAATAGCTGATCTCCCGCATTTATGCTAGGGGCGAATGCTATCGGCCTTAATAAACAAATGCCCTTTTCAACTTTGCATCTGTAATGATTTTCAAATTAAATAAAGATCGAACTCAAAATTTATGATTTTAAATCTAGGGTAATCAACTAGGTACCAATTTTTGGGCGCTTGTGGGGTGCTAATCTTTCCCCATGCGTAACTAACTCTCGAATTTAATTTCTAGATTTTTCGCAGACCCTAAAACTTAGTATTTTAATAAAAATAAAATGTTTTATTAAAATCACCTATTTTTATGGTGTCCCAATCGCACCTTAAATGATTGGTGGCGACTCCTCACATTTCGAAATTCTTTTCAAATAAAAAACCCCCAAGTCGGTATCGATCTTTCCCTGCCCGGGCGAAAAATGGCGTCGACACCGGGTGCTACTAAAAATGATAGACGGATGAGGATTGACATCGCTAGTCGACATGCGATAAATGTTAGTTCTTTTATTATTTTTTTGAAATTGTTTAACTTTATATATACTAACTTTTATAATTAATATTTATAGGTTTCTTGGCTTCCGTATTGCAATGAAGAGATCTACCGGTTATTGTCACCAAAATTTTATGATGGGTCTGATTTATGGTGTGCAATGACTCTATTATTACATTTTCTGATTGTTGAGATGCACATCGCTGATAGGGTGTTGCAATAGTTTGAGTCTCATCAACCTATTCCTACG